CACACACACACACACACACACACACACACACACACACACACCACGTATATGTAAAACAAACTTAACACTTTAAAATATTCTAAATTCTTACTGGTTTTAGTTTGTATCTTTTTGGCACCAGTTGTTAGATGTGCATGTATTAGATAAACACAAATTTAGGAGATCCTTATCTTCCTGGTCACTTGTTACCATGGAGCTCCCTGGTGATTCTCAGGCCACCAGCCTGGAAGACCTCCTGGGAACCAATTTCTTAGCCAAGAAAAAGCATTTGCCAAGAGGACACCCACCCTCCCCCCCGCCCCAAACTCATCCCCACACTCGCCTCTGGAGAGGAGCTTCCATCTCCAGAGCTCGTGGGGAATTCTGCTCCAAGGAGGCGCTAACGCCACCAGGGCCTGGAGGCTCAGTGAGGGAACACCTCTGGAAGGAAACCACTTGGGGCCCTGCAGGGGCAGGAGATGCTACTTACCGCAATCTCTGTTACTAAAACATCAGTAATACTTCCCAACACGGTGACGAAGTCAAAGACGTTCCAGGCGTCTCTGAAATAGTTCTGGAGAGAAGGAAGGGCAGTTAGTGTGGAGCCGGTGAGGGCTCTGCCACACAAGGAGCTGCAGGAGGTGGCCTCTCGTCAAGAAGGCGGCGAGTGGACAGACGCACCGCCTCAGGTGGGAGTGCACGAGGCCACGCATCAGAGGGAAGGAGCCCGGCCCCACCCGCTCCCAGGAGCAGGGCGGGGGCAGAGGTGCGGGCAGCCCCCGGCAGCCCCCTCCCTGGGGCCCCTCCAGGGTCACATGTGTTGTGGGGGTTCAGGGAATCCCCAGCTCCAAACGGTGGGCCCCCGAAGGTCCCCTGAAGAAGGGGAGCCAGCATGCAGACACCTAAAGGCCAGGAGGGGCCAAGGCACGTACCAGCACCCCGAAGGCGATGATCTTGAGCGCGCACTCCATGGAGAACATGGACGTGAACACGATGTTCAGACACTTCAACATCAGCTCGTACTCGTAGGGCGCGTCATAGAACTGCCCGGGGAAGGGGCACCGTTGGCCCCAGGCCTGGCTGCCCTGAGACACCCCACGGGGCTCACGATGACCTCCTGTCACACATGCCTGCTGCACGAGGACCCCCTCCCGGTTCCCGTCTCCCAGAACCTTCTCACGATCTCAGCCCACGGACGACTGGGGGCCCAGGGTTGCGCAGGCACCCTGAGCTGACCAGCACTCGGGGCGACGCCCACTCCTGCACATACCCCAGGAGGAAGCCAACCCTCCGCCAGGCTGGAGTTGGGTTCCCGCCCCACAGGCACCGGGATCCACCACGCAGGCCCCACGCACCTTCATCATCAGCACCACAGTGTTCAGGGCTATCATAGCCATGATGAAATACTCGAAGGGTGGCGAGACCACGAACGTCCACGTCTTGTACTGGAACGACTGCTTGTTCTGGGGCATGTACCGCGTCAGGGGTTTGGCGCTGATGGCGAAGTCGATGCAAGCCCTCTGCACAGGAGGGAAGGGGCAGGGGGAGCTGGGACCCTGCGGAGCCCCTGCACACCCCCCGCCCTCATCCAGAAGGCCTCCTCTGGGCAGCCCTCCCTGCCCTGTGCTGGCCAGTGGCTCCCACGCAGAGGGGAGCCCAGGGGCCCTGCCTACACTGCCCAAGGAGAGCCCGCGAGGAGACGAAGTGGGAGGGGAGTCGCCTACCTCATTCTTCTCCAGGCTGCATTCAGACATGACCTTGTCCCCCTGCTCCTGGAAGGTGATGATGATCAAGGCCACAAAGATGTTGACGAAAAAGAAGGGGAAGACCACGAAGTAGACCACGTAGAAGATGGACAGCTCCATGCGGTACCCAGGGCTCGGGCCCTGCTCCTCATAGGTGGCGTCCACCGAGTGTTTCAGCACCCTGGGCCAAGAACCAGTGCCAAGCATCAGGGGAGCCCAGGAGGATACGACCCCGGGAAAGACGAGACCCGTGTCACAGGTGAGGCTTCTGCGGCTGAGCCCAGAGACGGTGCCATGTGCGGGCCAGGCCTGCTCCTCAGGAGGGCCATGGCTCCCGGCGGGGGCCTGTCTCGCCAGTAGGGTTTATACTCAGGGCTACTGGGGGAACCTCCTAGAGGATGCCTCAGTGTGCCTGAGGTCCTATCCCCTGGAGGAGAGGTGGGAGAGGTCCAGCAGTCCTGTGCTGCCCGGCTCTCTCCCACCTCACACCAGGTAACCTGCTCACACCCAGCTTCACCTGTCGCCAGAAAGCCTTGGGCTGAGCAGGGTCACCTGGAAGAGCATCGATCCTGCCTTCTGAAGGGTGGTCTTCTCAGCCCCAAAGGAAGCCCCTGGAACCCACGCATCCCTTGGACTCCCCTTAACTGCGGCCAGAGGCTAGCACAGGGAGACGCCAAGGGGCCCATCTTCCCTCCGGCCCCCAGCCACTAAACAAGGGTTTTCAGGAGGTCACGGTGCTGTGCTCTTGGCTAATCTCCTGCTCCCCAGGCTGCCCACCCTCGAAGGGCAGGACCATGTCTCACCCGGTAAGTACAAGAGCCCGGGGGGTGTTTGCTTAGTGACGGACGCAGAGTCTACGCTCCCCACTCTGGCTGCCCCTCTGCTCTAGCCTGACCAGCCAGGGGGGCACTCACATGGGCCACCCTTCCCCCGTGGACACTGTGAACAGGGTCAGCAGGGCCCAGAGCACGTTGTCGTAGTGGAAGTCGTATTTCTTCCACTGCCGCGGCTGAGCCTCCACCTCCTCCTTCTCATAATCCAAGTACTGGCCCCTGGGAGCGGGAACACAGAGGAAGTCAGAGGTTAGAGACGAAGGGTCCAAATAAACCCCTGTGTCTGCGGTCAACTGAACTTTGAAAAGGGTCATCCATTCAGTGGAGAAAGAACCGTCTTTTCAACAGGTGGTGCTGAAAGCACTGGGTATCTACAGGTAAGAAAATGAATGTGGACCCCGCCTCACTCCATGTATACAAATTAGCTCAAAACGGATCAAAGACCTAAATGTAAGAGCTAATACTATAAGACTCTTAGAAGAAAGCACAGGGGGGCTCAGAACAGATAAATTGGACTTCATCAAAACTGAAAGCTTTTTTTGTGCTTCAAAGGACATCATCCACACACAGAATGGGACAAAATATTGAAAATCATCTATCTGACAAGGGACTCGTATCAGGGCTATATTAAGAACAATTACAATCGGTTATAAAAAGGACGGGGCTTCCCTGGTGGCGCAGTGGTTGGGAGTCCGCCTGCCGATGCAGGGGACACGTGCTCGTGCCCCGGTCCGGGAGGATCCCACATGCCGCGGAGCGGCTGGGCCCGTGAGCCATGGCCGCTGAGCCTGCGCGCCCGGAGCCTGTGCTCCGCAACAGGAGAGGCCGCAACAGTGAGAGGACCGCGTACCACAAAAAAAAAAAAAAAAAAAAAAAATGGGTAAAAGATCTGAATAGACATTTTTGCAAAGAAGACCCACAAATGGTCAATATGCACATGAAAAGAGGCTCCATGTCGTGAATCATCAGGGAAACGCAAATCAAACCACAATGAGATACCACTTTATACCCACTAGCACGGCTATAATTATATTTTTAAAAAGGAAAATAACAAGTATTGGCAAGGACGTGGAGAAATCGCAACTCCCAGACACTGCTGGTGGGAACACAAAATCGTTCAGCCACTTTGGAAAACAGTCTGGCAGTTCCTGAAACTGATAAAGAGAATCATCATGTGACCCAGCAATCTCACTTCTGCGTTCATACTCGAGAGAAATGGAAACACCTATCCACAGAAAAAGCTGTACACGTGTTCAAAGCAGCAGTAATCACAACGGCCAAAATGTCCACCAACAGATAACTGGCTCAGTACAATGAGGTGTAACTTAAGAAGGAATAAACATCTGGCCATTAAAGGGGACGAAGTACTGCACAGGCCACAGCACTAGTGGTAGAAGCTGGACACACAAGACCCCAGATCACAGGATTCCATCACGTGATGTGTCCAGGACGGCATCCACACAGCACCACCCTCCCCCTCGCTCCTCCCGGAAGGCGCCTCTCCTGTCTGCTCTGCTGGGGCCCAAGGCCTCAGGGGGGACGGGGAAGTGGCTCCAACCCCGGGGCGGCCCTCTGACCTCAGGGCCCAGCCTGGATCGCGAGGGCCGACGGGACGCCCGGCAGTGGCCACGCGGAGCTCCCTGAGGTGTGCGGGCAGCAAGGGCCCGTCCTGCCGGGGAGGCGCGGCGCTGGGGACAGAGGAGCCGCCCTGCCCGGTTTACCTGCAGTCCCGCTCCAGCTCCTTGGACTCGTCGGTGCAGTAGAAAAACTTCCCCTTGAAGAGCTGCACCGCGATGACGGCAAATATGAACATGAAGAGCATGTAGACAATCAAGATGTTGAGGACGTTCTTCAGGGAGTTCACCACACAGTCAAACACAGCCTGCGGGAGGGCGGAGCCGTGAGGGGCGGGGCCCAGGGGCGGGGCCCAGGCCCGGGACAACCGCAAGGGTCTGGACCGGGACCGGGGGCCTTGTGTGAGAAGCTGCCTGTGCCGTCCTCCTCCAGAAGGATGATCCTGGACTGGACGGGGTGCGCAGGAGGTGCTAGAAAAGGTGCTGCGGGCAGGGGGGGCCAGATGCCGAGGGGAACCTGGGGCTGGGGCTGGGGTCAGGCCTCTCTGCCAGGCCACGGGCTGGCGCGGAGGGAAGGGGCAGGGCCGGGCTGAGGACCATGCCTGGCCCCTGCCTATTGGTGGGAAGTGGGATGGGGGAGTGGTGATGCGGAGGCCAGCTCAGGACAGGGACTTGGGGCATGTCCATGAACCAGAGGAGACTCCCGTCCGTTAGCACTGCCCGGGCCGCCTGTCAGGGGCTCTCACTGTTCTCCAGTGAGCCTTTCCCTGCTGCCCTGGCCCCGGTTCCGGCTGGCTGTGCACAAAGGCAGATCCACGACCATCTCCCGAGACCCCATCTGGCACACTCCAGACACAAGCAGCTGCCTTGGCAGCGCAGACCCTGCCCACCCCCCCCCCCCGGAGCCTCCATCACCCCCAGAGCCACTCCTTCACACGCGGCTCTAAGCCAACTGCCTGCCGTAGCCCCCATCGCTTAGGGTCTCCACGGCCCGCCTGTCCAAGCTGCTCCGAACGCTACTGCACACAGTCCCGGAGGATTAAGTGAGTTTCGATACAAGCTCAGCAACTATTAGACTGCAGCACAATTCTAAAGCCACACCCACGCTTCCGGGAACCCCCGCCCTCCCCGCATCTCCCTGTGAGCCCACCTCCCTCTCTCCGCAGCCCCTCCCCCTGCACGACAGCTGCTGATGAAACCCGCTGTCCCATCGGGCACCCCTGGGTTGAGGAAGAGGAGCCTTACAGGACACTGCGGAGAATGAGCCCCTCGGGGAGGGTCACAGAGCCGAGAGCCCACCCCACGCACGCGACACGGGGCCTCCCCTCAGCCCTGCTCATCTTCACCCCACGCGGGAAGCTGCAGGGGACCAGGCCAGCTACACATGTGCACCCCACAACGCACACCTACATGTGCACGTGTGCACATGCACGCACACACGCACGATCTACATGTGCACGTGTGCCCACACGCCCACGAGCGCACACACGCCCACGGCCCCGCTCCAGACTCGCACCTTGAGCTTGGGCAGCCGCTTGATGGTCTTGAGCGGCCGCAGCACACGCAGGACCCTCAGGGACTTGATGGTGTTGATGTCTTTCCCTTTGGAGCCTCTAGAAGGAGAAGCCACCCATGTAGACAGGCAGGGTGCACACCTGTGCCCAGAGGACCTGGGGACAGGGCAGCCTCGGCCCTGCAGGCACCACAAGCCAGTGCATCTCCCCCTACGGGCTGCCTGCCAAGGTGTCCTCAGAGTGGACAAGGGCCGGGGCCAGGTCAGCAGCACCTGGTGTCCAGGGAGAGCTGAGCTTCTGGATGGGAAGAGCCCCTCCCCGCCGGGCCATGTCGTTCAGCACTCCCACCCACAGTGGGAACACCAGCTTCCTCCAGACACCATGCTGAGACCCCCAGTGGGAATAAAGTGGGGAGGCCACGCCAGGACTGCAGCCCCAGCCGGGGCTGGGCTTTGATGGAAAAGGCGTCACAGGTCAGATCTGATGGCCGTGTCCTTGGTGTGGTTTCCTGGCTTTGAAGGCTTTTGAGAGTTCAGTCTGAGACTCCCTATGGAAATTTGTAACAAAGCAGCCTTAAGAAGAACTCAAATGATCAGTCACTCTTCTTGCTGCACTTATACAAATATTCAGGCCAAGTTTAATACAAACAAATTAGTTTTACTGTGATTATCTTTGGTAAAAAAGTGGGGGTATTGTAGAGAAAAAAAATATGTTTGTCCCTTTAGAGATATTAGATTCTAATCCTAATAATTATATTTAAGGTTTTGCTATGTACCTGTAAACTGGGCTGGATCCTGAATTCTTCCAGTTTCCTCAAATATCTGGCTATGACTTACCAAACTAACGTTTCCAATCTTCTCCCACCTCTCTGATTTGAAATCAGTCAGAACAAAGATTGCCCTGAAATCTCCTTGGAAGGGACAGCACCAGGTCCTCCTCACTACCCAGACGGCAGTAAACTTCAGGGACTTGCACCTTGGATAAACATTTCACAGCTGAGGAAGCCCCAGCATTCCCTTCTCTGGTCTGATCCCCTACACTGGTCTCTCAAGCCCTGGAGCAGAGAGGGGCAGCGGGCCACAGAGGGCCCCTGGCAGAGCCTCCTGCAGGCCAAGCCCCCGCTGGTTTCAGCAGGCTCCGTGCTGGACAGCTCCCAGGTCCCCAGCACCGGGAAGCTGGGGCGGCCTCAGTTCTGCTGCCCTGCCCCGGGCTCCGCACGGCCAGGCTGGCTGAGGCGAGGACCAGCTCCCTCCGTGCTGCCCCCCACTCACCTCACCTCACCTGCCACCCACATGTCACAGAGAAAATCCATTTCCGAGCCTCCCTCAGGGATGAGGCCACCTCCCCGCCTGCCCTTCCCCTCCCCCTCCCTCTGTGGGAACCCAGAGCCTCAGCCATCCTTCAAAACAAAACCAAAACACCCCATCTCATCCTGTACAAACGCTGGCGACCTCCGAATCAAACTGAGAGGAAGAAAAGTAGCCGACATGGACACAGACTGCTTCTGCCCAAGACGACAGATCATGATTTACACTTCAATCGTGAAACTCTCCTTTTCCAATGGGGTTGGCCTTTCAGACTGCTGGATTCGCCACCAAGGATTCCGACCTAGCCCGACTATCTAGCTCAGATTTGTCTCCACTCACTAGGAGGCCCCACCAGCAGCACCCATCTCTGCAAGGCATTTAGGAAGGCTCTTTATTTCAGGGGAGGCGATTCTAGTCCCACATACACTAAAAACCTGACTGACCCCTGGCATAAATGGGTAAACGCAGCAAACGCTGTGAATAAATCCATCACTCGGTTTCAAGTAAATACGCACAAGGAGTTAGGTTAGGAGTAAATATGCACAAGATATAATCAGAAACCTCTCCATAACTCTTGAAGACACTGCAGATTCCCCTGCAAAAATCCTTAGACTCTCTGGCCAAAGTTGGTCCTAATAATGGGAGAGCCCTGGGCTATCTTTAACTGAGCAAGTTGTCTATGCTGTGGCCAACACCACCTACAGTACCGGGATTGGCACTTCCGGGGAGGCTGAAAGTCAGTTACGTGAGATCACTGAGCCAGCTACTAGGCTCAAATGTGTGACTGCTTCATGGGGTTTTTCTTTGATTGGTTTGGGTCTTGGGGACCATGGCTCCAAAGTACACTTCAAACATTAGGAATTATCCTGCTTATAATGCCCTTGATGTGTTTGTGTTTGTCATATTCTTTCAAAAACTTTAAATACAAGTTTGTAGCTGATAACCACTAAGTAAACGGTCTCCATTCTGACTGGAATGTCAGAAAAGCAGCAAAGGAAATGACCACCATAAGGGTTATGAACCTGGAACTACGATCTGTGAATGTCACAGGGGTTAAGCAAACACATCATGATCTATGGATCCCACATCAAAGATCAAAGCTGCAAAACATTACACAGCAGGAGCTAAGAGTGGTGCCAATGCCTGTGAATAAAAAATATTGCTGCCACATCAGTAAACAAAGGATGTTGCAGCCATCAAGCCACCACATTACAGCCACGGATGGTGAGCCCTGTGGGAGCTCAGGATGGAGGCAGGATGCCCCCCCATCTAGCTGTCAGCCACCCCCCTCCCCACGGGGCACCTCAGGAGACTCAGGATGAGAAGCCCAGGATACTGGCCCAGGTAGCTGAGGTACATATCAAAGGAATGATTCAATGAGCCCAGACTCTTGCATTTCCCATATAAAGAAAAGCACTAAATCCCTTAACTTGAGATGCCTGGTTTTCTTTAGTTAACAGTTAATCTTTTGATATTACGACTACCTGGGCTCTGTTGCAAAAACTCCTGTATATCCTGGCTCCCCCCTGCCTCTTTGGAGCCGTCCCTCAGAGTTGTCTGAGATGCTGTGTCCCGGGCTTAAGTCCTCGGTTTTGTCCGCCAAATAAAATGTAACTCTCAACTTCTAGGTTGTGAATGTTTTTTTAGTCAACACACCTAAAATTTTGATCACATCTCTCAGTTGGGCTGACACTTTGACAAGAAGGGGAGAATTGTTAAAAAAAAAAAAAAAAAAAAAGAGGAGGGGGAGAGGGAGGGAGAGGAGAAAGAGGAAAAGGAAGAAAAAGGAGAAGAAGGAAAAATGAAAAGAAACAACAGGCCCAAAGTGGAGCCACTTGTCCCCAGGACGGCGAACCAGGACTGAATTGCAGTTTCAGCCTCTCCCAGGAATGGAATTTCTGGACTTTCCTGGTCAGCACCAGTGAGGTAACCTTGCCTGAAACAATCCTTTCGTTTCTTTTGTTAATAACCTTGTCTGGCTCCCTTTCTATAAAGGCCTTCAATTTTGTACAGCCTCCATCGTGTACAGCCTTTCTACTTACTGGATGGGATAATGCCTGTTTCATGAATCACTGAATAAACCCAATTAGACCTTCAGATTTACTCAGCTGAATTTTGTTTTATAACAATAGAGGGTCGGAGATGCTGGGCATTTCAGGGAGGCGTTGTGGAAAGGAAAGAGCAAGAAAGCCCTGTTTCCAGGAGAGACACGTGGGAAAGTGTCTCAGGATAGCCAACATCCTGGCCGCCAAGGTCACACAGCTCCCACCCCGAGCGGGCACTGCCCTCAGGCCCAGGCGCCCCGCCCCCAGCCCTCAGTCAGGATTCCCTGCTCACCAAAGGGGGGGCCACGCCCAGCTCCAGCCCCCAACCCGGCCCCCAGAGGTGAGGCGGGGACGTGTGGCCCTGGGGACATGGCTCCGGGCAGCATGCAGCCCAGACGGTGGCGGGAAATGAGCGGAGGTGAGGCATGGTGATGAAGCGGCCCACGAGGGGCCGCAGCGTGCTGTGATGTGCGGCAGTGTGAGGGGACAGAGGGAAGGCATTACCCCATGAAGCTCCTAGCGAGAGTCCAGCAACAGGAGACAAAGAGAAGAGAGTCAGTGAGGAGGCCTCCCTGTGGGCTCAGGGATGAGCCCATCCCTCCGTATCTGTGTCCATCGAGGGTCTTACTTATCTCTGGATCTCCCCCCACCACCTCCGCCAGGTCTCCCCCCTGCTCCACCCGAGCACCCAACGCCTGCCTCACGCCCGCCACTGCGTAGGGTCTGAGGGAGCCAATCCAGGCCCGGCCACAACAGGGCTGAGTGTCGCTCACTAGGGAGCCACAGAAAATGGCGGAGCACCCCGACGGCGGAGACCCCCAGCTGCACCCACCCACTGGCTGACCAAGCAGGGCAGCCGCGTCCGGGCACGGAAAGGTTCCTGAAGGACCCAAGAGGCAGACACCATAAGCAGAGGCCTGCCTACCCAACTTCAGAGCCATGGGGTGCGTCAGGCACAGACGAGCCTTGAGGTCCTCCCAGCCCCACAGCCCAGCCCCAGGCACAGAGGGACTGACTAGAGACGGCCATGGAGGCCAATGGACCCCTTCCTCCTTCACCCCCCACACTCATCACGGCTCTGGGGACTGCAGCCCAGCAAGAGTCAGAGCAGACCTGGGTACTTACGAGAAGGCAAATGCCACCAGGGCCCCACTGACCACAACGAAGTCCAGAATATTCCAGAGGTCCCGGAAGTACGCACCAGGGTGCAGCAGCAATCCCAAATCGATCATCTTTAGGGGAACAACACACTTTAATGAACAGAATATCTCAGAAAAGAAAGGCAGAGCCAGAGCCCAGAGACGTGGTTAGGGGAAGGGTGCCACTTCATGTCACGTACCATCGGGGAGGGGACACAGCCCTGATTATGCCTATCATGAAAGGGGACCCGGCTATGGTGACATCCTGTCAGGGGAAGGGGTCACGGCTCAGGTCATGCCTGTCAGGGAAGGGGTCACATCTCAGGTCAATTCCTGTCAGGGGAGGGGACACGGCTCAGGTCACATCTTGTCAGGGAAGGGGTCACGGGTCAGGTCAGTTCCTGTCAGGGAAGGGGTCAGAGCTCAGGTCAATTCCTGTCAGGGGA